AAGCATGCCCCCACTCCCGACCCCCTGTGGCTGTGGAACTGCACCAGAAGCATGCCCCCACTCCCGACCCCCTGTGGCTGTGGAACTGCACCAGAAGCATGCCTCCACCCCCGACCCCCTGTGGCTGTGGAAATGCACCAGAAGCATGCCCTCTGGCAGCTATTGTCAGCATGCTAGTAGGCACTGGGCAGGCTGCTTTTGTCACCAACAGTCTTAATCAGTTGTGGATCCTTAGTGAAAAATTACTGTCCGACAGGCAAGATGTGCCCACTGGTGTGAAGCTCCCTGATTTGGTTTGATGCCAGCCCTGTAGGCGGGAACTCACATCCTGCACTGTAAACACAATGGATAGCACAGGACTGGAGAGTTTATAGCCCTAGTGGGATAGATACTGTTACCGATTGGCAAAATGGACTTTATATGTTCGTCAAATCACCTTCTGAAAAACTATATTCATTAGTGTTGCTGTCAACTTTGATCAGAGAAGACGGTTTTTGCAGTTGGCAACAGAGGCTGCAGAGAATCATAACTGGTCAAGCCCTAGGAATAAATGACTGATGAGCGCTGAACAAGAAAGAACATGGGGGCTGGAGAGATGGCTCAGCACTTGAGAACATAGACTGCTCTTCCGAAGGACCCATAATCCCCAGCACCCACATGGCAGCTCACAACTTTCTATAACTCCAGTTTCAAAGGATCTGACATCCTTATACAGAGAGACATGCAGACAAAAACCAATCAGTGCTCATAAAACAAAAATAAATAAATTATAAAAAACAAAACAAAAAAGAACCAATGGCCAGGAGCACCATGGATGGGGAGGTGGAAATGACGTAAGACAGAGCTAGAGGAATGTGGGTAGAGTGGTGTGGAGTACTGCCTTTGGGGATGACATAACTGTCACAGTCCAAAGCGTATGGCAGCTGTGATTACCTGCATAAGACCTGTACAATACTGAGCCTGTCAACACCTTGTCACAGACTGGGGAGGGTCTAATGGGGACCTTTCCCCGAGGATTTACACACAGTTAACGGCTAAAAGAGTGGGAAAGACATTCTTGTGTATAGTGTAACTACTTGTTCCTGTAAACACCCCCTCTCCTACTACTTAATGAAACTCATTAGTCTTCACACACACACACACACACACACACACACACACACAAACCAGAGGGTGGCTATTTGGGAAGAAGGGTGTGAATAAGGCACTTGTAAGGAACAAAAGAGGGTGAAGCGGTGACTATGATTCAAATACATTATGCATTTGTATGAAAATGTCATAAGAGAACCCACTAATATATATGATTAATATATTAAAGTAAAATAAACATTCAAAATTTAGTTTAGAAGATTTTTTTTTAAGTAGGAATAAACAAAGAAAATGGGTCAAAAAACAAGTGAATCCCTGAAGCATTCAGTCTGGTCAGACCTGGCTGCAAGTGCAAGCTTATTCCAGGGTCTCTTTTAATGTCACATCTAAGATCAAAACATCTCCTTGGACGTCTTCATACTTCGTTTCAGAGATAATAACAATGCTGGGTAAGAAGTGTGACATTTTTCACTTTCTCTAATCTTATTTAGCCTTTAAAATCTCCGCATCTTAGATTAAAACAGGCAGATAATAGCAAGACACACAATGCACAGTTCTATCTGCTTCTTTGGGATACATTATCTCCCTGATGTGAGAAAATGTGTGGGGCTCAACACTATTATTTCGGGATCTTGACACCAACACCATCCCTCACTGGCAGTAAAGGGCTCGGCACCATCCATTTCAGAGAATCTGGTGCTGAAGTTTTCATATATGTTCGACTGTCTCTGACACAACACACTGCTGTCAATCAGCACATGGCTTCTGTTCCTACAATTCACACAAACTTAATGCCTTTTTCGTCGTATCTAAGCACTTATCACATCGTAACAGCATACGGTTTGCATTTGGAAGCAGAACAACAAAATCAGAACAGATTTTTTTTCTTACCCGTTTCACAGGAAGATTTCTTCTTCCTGCCAGTTCAGTGACCTCAACATAGATTTTTCTCGCCTTACCAAACTAAGACCTTTCACCTTTCACATTTAAACAAAAAGCCCTTCACACTTCCTCTTTGGCAGATCCAAATCACTACTATCATTATTCTTTGCACTTTGGAACCATCATGAAGTAAAATTTGGATTATCAGGGCATGAGCACTAATAACAAGACAGTTGATTTGAAAATTGAGACGTACTCAGTAGTGTGTGTTGGTTGGACATAAAATGTGGGCATGCTCCAAAATGTTGATTCATGTCCTCCACAGGGCAGAGCTTGGGATTTCATCATATGACTCAGAGTGGTATGCAATTGGAAACCTACGAGTTTTTTTGTTTCTGAAATTTTTATTTAGTATTTGCATGCCGTGGCTGACCAGAGGTAACTGAAATCTCAGAGAGTAAAGCCACAGATATTTGATGTTAGTGTTAAATGTTAAATATAGAAATTTTTGAAAAGACCAAACCACTCCTTCAGTTTGCAAATAAAAGCAGGAACCCTGAAGATACATTTATTGTTATTAGCTTCATCTTGGTATTAGTTAGCCAGAATATATACAAAAGGTGTTTTTATTGCCCCATTTTTTCCTTCTCAAAAATGTGCTGAGATAAAGAACTATAACATTTATTTTAATTTTTTGTTATAATGACCAAATCGAACCAGAAAAGAATAGTAGGATTAAGTAAGTAGTAATATTGTGTCTTCCTGAACTGCATCGCAGTGAGATACAGGAACCATCTTCCAAAGGAGAAGGAAATACAACACACTAAAGAGCAAGTCAATGGTTGTGTGGGCCAAGTTAAAAAGTTACACATTCTTGCCCTTTCCTCCTGCCGGTAATGTTTTTGAATCACTCCCTGTGGGTGATGGACTGAATTCTAGTCTTCCCAGAGTTTTAAACATGTTCTTAATCAAATCTGAAAGATTTGGACAAAGGAAGTAACATGTGTCATGGGAGAATAGACAGGAAGCAGAAACCAGAGTGGAGATGTTAATGTAACAGATTGACTCTGGATAACAAAAGAGCAGAGACAAGAAAAGATAACAGGATAATGGGATCTGCCCAGAGATTCACAGCAGAAGTAACAGTCTACCCAGCTTGAATTTGTATTATACACAGTATTACCAGCACCAAAGGGAGCAGGACACACAAACACCACATCTGCAGAGATCGAGGTCCCTTAGCCCAGCACACAAGAGGAGAAGCAGAGGAAAAAGATTTGATATTGTAATAGGGCCATTTGTTTGTTCCCACCGCTTAGCCCTAAAATAATCACACAGAAACTATATTATTTAAATCATTTCTTGGCCCATTAGCCCTAGCTTCTTATTAGCTAACTCTTACATATTAATTTAACCCATTTCTAGTAATCTGTGTATTGCTACAAGACTCTGGCTTACCAGGTAAAGTTCTGGCATCTGTGTCCAGCAGGACTACATGGTTTTTCTCTGACTCTGCCTCCTTTCTCCCAGCATTCACTTTAGTTTCTCTGCCTAGCTCTTTCTGCCCTGCTCTGCTATAGGCTCAAAGCAGTCCTTTATTAACCAATGGCACTCACAGCATACAGAAGGGAATCCCACATCTCTGTGAGACAGAGTTTCAGGACAATCACATCACTTAAATGCCTGTGAGAATAGGGAAGGTGTGGGTGCTGTTGAGTGACAAGTGCTGAAGAAGGCAAGGAAAAGTGAGTCTGGTTATTCCCATTTTTGTAGAATACATGAACTAAACCCTTGGGTTTTATTGTTTTATTAAACAATCGAAAATCAAAGTGGATATGACCCTGAACTGGGCCATGTGAGAAGGGGAAGGGAAGAGGTAAGAGGAAATGCCAACCCAGAGAGGTGGCCCGGGCCAAGAGATTGTCCAAGAGAGTAAAGGGTAAACAAAAGGGCCAGGTAACTAAAGGGCCTGGATTATATAGGGAAGGGCATCCTGCAGAAAGGCAACCCAGTCCCTGGGCTGAAGAAGTTTAGGGTAGGGACTGGGGTATGTCAGCTAAACCCTAGAGACTGAGGAATACTGGAAGAGCCTGACAGCTGGGTCCAAAAGCAATTTGCAGGGGAACTTTTGATCTATTTGGCTTATACCTCCACTGCTGGGTCTCAAACTTGGGACAAAAGACTTGAGGTACCTGTTTAACTTATCAAAACAGACCTGGCCTCCAACACAAAGTTTATAAAAATACAAATGAAACAAAATCAGATTTGTGGCTTAATTTTAAGGTCAGATTTTTGAAGTACAAATAGATGAATATTTGAAACATTCTGTGGATATCTGTGGACATGTCAGTACCCACTGGTTATTATTGCTAATAGCCAGAAGTAAAACTGTGTCTTTCAAATATACCTATAAATGAAATAAGGGGAGAAACAATAGAGCCTACGTTTGGCAGTATGTAGAAGAGGCAGAGAAATAGTTGTCAGTAAGCTTCCCTGAGCTAATAAAAATCTAAAGACTAAGACTGGAAGAGAAGAAAGGAGGCGAATACAACCAATGCACACATGAGAAGATGGTCACAATTAGCCAAGGGACTGGGTATTAAGAGCATAAAGGTGAACCATCTTGTA